AAGGGTCTAATCTCTGAAATTGATAGAAAACTTCAACACCTCAACAACAAAAAGACAAACAATCCAATTAAAAAATGGGCCAAGGATATGAACAGAGACTTCACCAGAGAGGACATTCAGATGGCTAACAAGCACATGAGGAAATGCTCATGATTACCAGCCATTAGAAAGATGCAAATCAAAACTACAATGAAATACCATCTCACCCCGACATCAGTGGCACTAATCAAAAAAACAGAAAACAACAAATGCTGGCGAGGTTGTGGGGAGATTGGAACTCTTATACACTGATGGTGGGAAGGTAAAATGATACAACCACTATGGAAAATGGTATGGCGCTTCCTTAAAAAGCTAGAAATAGAACTACCATATGACGCAGCAATCCCACTCTAGGTATATACCCTAAAGAACTAAGAGCCGTGACATGAATAGACACATGCACACCCACATTCCTTGCAGCATTATTCACAATAGCAAAGAAATGGAAACAACCTAAGTGCCTGTCAACAGATGAATGGATTAACAAACTGTGGTACATACACACAACGGAATATTACACAGCAATAAAGAATAATGATGAATCTACAAAACACCACACAACGTGGATGAATTTGGAGGACATTATACTGAGTGAAATAAGTCAATTACAAAAGGACAAATATTGCATGAGACCACCATCATGAAGAAACAAGAAAAGGTTGACACACAGGAAAAAAAAATTATTTGATGGTTACCAGGGTTGGGAGGGGGAGGGAGGGAAAATTACCAAATAGATAGAAGACACGTTAATATTGGTGAAGGGAAAGGCAATACACTATATTGGGGAAAGCAGCAAAACAGGACTAAGGCATGAGAGAACACAGAGAGGAAGGCAGGAACAAAGAGCAGCAACGGTAATTACTATAGCATAGACAACCCTGCAACAATAGTATTAACAAACACTAAATTACCAATGGATACATAGGCAGTAGGTATACCACGAGGTGTGGGAGGGTGTAAGGGAACACACCCACCTACAGATACAGGTTTGGTGGTGGATATTTCTACATACATAACTGTAGGTGTTGCTTATATATCAGTATAGACAAGAGAGCACACAAGGGCCACAGTCAGGGCAACTTCTCAGATATAACCAAATACCTCACAGAATGAAGGTAAAGGACCATAGACTCAGGGGTCATCTGCATCAATTGGCACAAAATAGTTCATAAAGTTCTGCATCCTGCTTTAATGAGTAGTGTCTGGCCTCTTGAAAGCTTGCGAGCGGCCATCTAAGATACATATATTGGTCTCTTACCATCTGGAGCAAAGGAGAGTGAAGAAAATCAAAGGCTCAAGGGAACAACTAGTCCAAACGACTAATGGTTCACATGAGCCACAGCTATACGACCAGAAGGACTAGATGGTGCCCAGCTACCACTACTGACCACTCTGACTGGGATCACAATAGAGGGTCCTGGAAAAATCGTAGAACAAAAAATCAAATTCCCACACCCACACACAAAAACAGATTTACTGGTCTGACAGAAACTGGAGGAACCCCCGAGACTATGGCCCTAAGACACTCTTCTGAACGGGAACTGAGGCCATTCCCAGAGGCCACCTTTCAGCCAAACTATGGACAGGCCCAGAAAACAAACAATGACACGGGAGAGGAACTGCTCCTTAGAACAATCAATTATACAAGATCAAAGGGGCAACATTTGCCCAAGGGCAAAGATGAGAAGGCAGGAAGGGATAGAAAATCAGGATAAAAGGAAATGGGGAACCCAGGATGGAAATGGGGAGAGTGCTGACACATTGTGGGGAATGAAACCAATGTTATGGAGCACTTTATGTACCATCTATGGAATGGGAAACTAATTTGCTCTGTAAACTTTCACCCAATGCACAATAAAAAATTTTAAAAGTCCAACTCATAGTCATTCTAATTGGTTTGAGTATCAGGATTTTTCAAAGGTCCCCCAGATAATTAGTAGACTAACTGCTGCTAAATTGTTCCTTCTGGCAAAAGATTTCAGTCTTTTAAAGCAGTGGTCTTCAAAGTGTGATCCCAGCACCAGCCGCAACAGCATCACCTGGTAACTTCTTAGAAATGCAAATTCTCCAGCCTCACCCTAGACCGATTGTTGCAGGGTGCTGTAGAGTCAATTCCAACTGGTAGTCACCCCCACGTGATAAAGTAGGGTTTTTCTTAGCTATAAGAAGTGGCTGTCTGCTTCCCGAGAGATACAGCCTTGGAAACCCTGTGGAGCACTCTACCCTGTCTTATAGGGTAGCTATGAGTCAGAATCAACTCAATGACAATGGGTTTAGTTTTTACTTTTAATCTTTATGGGAGGAGATCACCAAGCCTTTTTACCGCAGAGCAGCTGGGTGGGTTAGAACCTCGAACCTTTCTGTTAGCAGCCAAGTGTTTAACCATTGTGCTACCAGGGCTCCTTCTAGCCTAGACCTACTGAATCAGAAACACTTGGAGTGAGGCCTAGCCATCTGTTTTAACTAGCCCTCCAGGTGACTCAATGGACATTGTGCATGAGAGGTGTATCACAAAGCAAACTAAAAAAGAACAGACACCCAGCTCATTATTAGCTATTATCGGCTGGAAAGATTGCTTAATCCACAATCAGTTTGAAAAGATGTTTTGTACTATTTAAGCACAGCCTCCAGATTCTGGGCTCCACTGGGTTCCAAAGATAAATCAGTTGCCATTGAGTGGATTCTGACTCATGGCGATCCCATGTGTGTCAGAGTAGAACTGTGCTTCATAGGTTTTCAGTGGCTGATTTTTCAGAACTAGATCACCAGGTGTGTCTTCCAAGGGGCCTCTGGGTGGATTCAAACCTCCAAGCTTTTGGTTAACAACCGAATGTGTTAACTGTATTACGTAGGGACTCTGCTGCAAAGATAACAGGGTTTAAACTTCTGTTTGCCTAGGTTTCTCTCAAGCTCCGAAACCCGTTGCCGTTGAATCGATTCTGTTTTGAGCAGAAGGGAGTTATTTGTCTTCCTCTTCTCTCTCTGTTGACTACTCCCAACCCCCTCCAGTTCCCGCCGACATCGACCCTGCCCAGTTGGAAAACTCTGCAACCAAAATTTGCTGAGATCTTTAAATGCTATTTTGCTGAAGAGGGAAGCAGAGGGTTTGGTTTTTGTTTTCTAAAAAAAAAATTCCTGTGGTTATTTATTTGCTAAATCACAGATATTGAGCCTTGTGTTGATTCAAATGACTGAAGTCACTTAACACATTTCCTGTCCCATCAATGCAAACTAGGTGAACAGAAGCCAAGGCACCTCTGACTTTGTTCAATCCACCTTGGACAAGTATGTGGTTTATGGGTCCAGACGTGATTTACTGTCCTAGCATAAACCCAAACCCGTTGCCATCGAGTCGATTCCGACTCATAACAACCCCTAAAGGACAGAGTAGGGTTTCCAAAATTGTAAATCTTTACAGAAGCAGACTGCCACATCTTTCTCCTTTGGAGTGGCTGGTGGGTTTGAATGGCCGACCTTCTGGTTAGCAGCCAAGCTACTGTGCCACCAGGGCTTCTTTTTGTCCTAGCATAGACCAGGCTTTTTACCACATGAAATTTTCATAGAGGACACGTAGCTTCCTTTTCTTCACCCTGATGTCGTTAAAACTTCTACGCTGCAAAACTTTTGGCTTCTGAAACTATTATCTCCTGTTCATTCTCAGCTTATGAGGAAGCAATTTCCCCTGCTCCACGATTAAAGAGAGAGAGAGAGATTCAATGGGTGAATCCAGCACGTCTGTAGCTTTCTTGAATCTCTCTTTAAGCTGAGTTGTATGCCTTGAGTGTCTGGAGAAGATATTTCTCAAATATGTTTTCTTGCTAGGCTAAATTGACTCACCATTTTCATCTCTAATTTCATGATGAAACATTTGATAACGAAATCACAAAGCTAATGCTCCCAGAGACTGTGTACGTTTCAGACAGCATTTGTATTGGCGTTTGAAATGACACCCTGCCTCCCAGCTCCCAGGCCCAGGGCCCAGCATTCAGCTCCCACTCCATTAACCTGCAGTGCAGACTGAAGGAAAAGGAGCCCCAAAGGATCCCTCTTTGGCAACTGGGCTCCTGTTTCATAACTCCACATCTGGCCCCAGGCCTAAGGGACAGCCCCAGGCCTGATCGAGGACTGATTCCTGGCACGCAGACAGCCGGCGGCAAGCCTCTCCTTCCATCAGAAGGCCGGCCACACTGACTGAGGCACGGTGTCAGCGACGGCTCCCTCGGGAGACGCAGCAACCCGATGCCAGTGAGAGACGGAGCTGGGAGAAGGGTGCTGAACTGCTGCAGGGAAAGAAGTCATTGCCAGGCTCAGCACTGAGCTACTGAGGAAGGAAGCTGTTTCGCCCCTCGGCAGAATTTTCTCTGACTGTTCAGCTTCAGTTTTCATCCCCAGGAACTCCTCACCAAGACCTTTCACACTCACTCTACTCGCCCCATGCTGCCTTTTCTTAAGTTATCTGCCTCACAATAAACTCATTAAAATAGCCCCAGGGAACAAGTCTTGGAAAGCTCCTAAGAGTATGTCTCACAGATAAAATACAGGAAAACCAAAACCAAATCAAACCCACTGCCTTCCAGTCAATTCCAACTCACAGTGACCCTCTAGGACTGAGTAAAACTGCCCAATAAGGCTTCCAAGGAGCTGCTGGTGGATTCGAACTGCCGACCTTTTGGTTAGCAGCTGAAATACAGGAAGCTCAGTGAAATTCGAATTTCAGATAAACAAGGAATAATTTATTAGTATCAGTATGTACCAAATATTGCATTGGACATACGTATATTGACAAATTACTCGTTTATCTGAAATTCAAATTTTACTGGGCGCCTTGTATTTCTATTTGCTAGATCTGGCAACCCTACCAAAGAGGTGGGCACGAGGGAAAAGTGAGTGACGAGTTATAACCCTGCTCGGTTGCTCCCAGGTCCACCTCAGTGTTTACAAGAAGAGAAACACACACCTACCATATCGGCACCGGTACTGACAGACTCCATTCTTCCCACCCAGCAGCTCCAGAAAGGAATCAAAGTAGCTGTTGACGGATTCGAAACTCCCCCGGATGTGCCGAAGGCCCCAGTCTGAATAGGATTCCTCTGTGTCTGGACTGGTGTCGCTCTGAGTCAGGCCACCCCCCAGGCTGAGCCACAAAATCAAGCAGCCGGTGGCCAGCTTCATCCTGCGGCCAGGTAGGTCCTGAGGCCTCTCCTCAAACCCCAGCCAGTGTCCCAGGAAGTCCAGGTACACAGCCCACCCCGCCAGATGTCAGACCAGACTGGAAAAGGGATTATCTGGAACGCGCAATCTGTGTGTTCCCCAGAGGTGGACTTTAAACATACCTATGGGGGTCAGGATGAGAGCAGAGCAATTAGAAAGAGTGCAAAGGTTAGGCAGTGGGAGGGCCTGCCTGAAGGACGGGAGAAAATACTCCACGGTGGATTCCACAGCACTGGCAGCGGGGAGATGGGGATCCGCCTGTAGGAGGCGTGGGCGGTGGAGCTCCGAATTCTACCCCTGACCAGTTTGTTAATTCTAGTCATCAGTTACAAATTAGGCTTTTCAGGGCCGGCCTCTTCACGCGGAGAATTTGCTCCAACGTCCCAGCTCCACCCCTAAGCCGGTCACCCGCGCGTGATCTCTGGGAGACTCAGGAGGGTAATAGGGTTCAGCACAGCTCTTCTTCACCGTTACAGGAAAACCCCCATGTGTCAGTTTTACCAACGTCAGGATATTGTCGGAGAGAGTGTGCTGTAAGTGTGCGTTAAGGGGAAGTCCAGATTTGGGACCCCAGCTTCTGCCTTGGTCCCTACTTAGCTCTCAGACTCCTAGTTCCTCTAATCTGGCAAAACTCCTAACTGTAACCGTCTGGGCACCCTGGTGGTGCTGTGGTTAAGGGTTCAGGCTGCTAACCAAAAGGTCGGTCGGCAGTTGGAATCCGCCAGCCACTCCTTGGAAACCCTATGGGACAGATCTACTATGTTCTATAGAGTCTCTTGAGTCCCAGTCGACTGGAAGGCAACGGGTTTGGTTTTTGGTTATTTACAGAGGAGACGCTCAGCAGTACCAGATGTACTGTACGGTCCCCGATTTACGAAGTGTTCTAGTTAAAATGAACCACACTTTCGACTGTCCTTTTTTTTGTACATCTTATAATTAGTAATATGTACGACATACAATGTTGCAGCACGTAGTTTGCTGAAGTTATCATTCTCATGCCAACCCCTGAAGACAAATAAAGATCAGATTTATAAAGATACTGATAATAAAGGGCAATAATAATGGGGAAAAAATGAGGTATTCATCTTACAATAGAAGCAACTTACAATGGAGTCGGAGTCGTAGGAGCCCCTTGTAAATTAGGGACTACCTGTATACAGATTGCCCAGGGAAAATTCTGTGGGAAGTCAGGGGCTTTATCAAAAAGACTCTTCGAGTTTGGGGGCTTTTAAGACCGCTAACTGAAATCTAGTGTTTCCTTCGGCATTTCTTTCAAGTTTATAGTTTACTTTTAATCATATGAAGAAATAAATTCCATCCATGAAGCCACTAGATAATAAAAAAGACACCTTTTTTTTGGATCAGATGAATCATTTGGCCTCTCTCTCAAATGTTTGGAAAATCCTATAGGAAATAATGAGTTAAATTTTATCATTTTAACTAAGAAATGTCTAAGGACTCAGACTCCAGGAAGGATACTGTTTATATAATATTTCATATGAACAACAAAAATGGCACCCAATATTTTAAAGCATCTACAGTGTTTCAAAGCACTTTCACAATATATATATGTATGTATGTGTATATATATATATACACATACATATATATATTCACATCAATTCTATAAAGCAGGATAAATGTCATTCCCATTTGACAGGTGAGAAAACTGAGACACGAAGGTTAAATGACTTGATCAAACCTGGACAGGCTGTCAATGGTAAAGCTGGGACTAGAGACCAGCTATGTAATGTGTGAGGCACAGACAAAACGAAAATGCAGAGCTCCTTGTTCAAAAAGCAGGAAAAAAAGTGTCATCAAAGGTACTGAAGTATAAAATTTTTCCTCTAAAAATGTTTTATTACTTATAAAACATAATAGGAGTAACAGTGTTACAAGATTAAACACAAACTTACAGATTACAAAAAAATTTTTTAGATGTCATTATTTCATATAATACAATACATACTAATACTTTATTAATGTGGTATTTTGATTTATCATAAGAATTTTCTGACAAATTCATTTATTTTTCTTTTCTGCCAATTTGTTCATTAGGTCATCAAAATTTATACTTTTAGCAATTTCATTTTTTTAATTTTTAATTGGCAAATGCAAGATCATAAATAATTTTTAATTTTGAAAAGGTTCTTCTGATGCAGCTCTTACTGGAGCTGTTGATACATTTTATAGATGGTGACAACACTGGGATTAAATCCTGATAAATTATTTTAAAGTATAAATTTTAGTACACCTAGAGCTGATGATTCTCATGGAACAATTTTTCTAAAAAGATTTAACTATTTGTACAAATCAATTTTGTGTAAGTCTGAATTTAATTTTATATGTAAATTTGTACAATGGCATTTTAATGTTTCCTTTGACATTTCTCGTAAATTGTCAAGATGATAAAAGAAACTGAAAGAGGCTTCATGATTTGTATATAATTCAAAATGCCTATTTATGCATTCTATGTTGTATCTCAATTACAAGGAAAAATAAATTTTAACGTTGTCTTCCTTGTTAATAATTGGTTCATCCTGAGGTTCATATAAAAATACTATTTTCTGTCAAATGCGATGATCTTTAAATTTAATTTCTATTTCTAAGCCTGTGGATATTTGTTTTGCATTGTTGAAGCAGTTTTCAAAACTGGGGATTATACACTCTTTGAAGAATTTTAATAACTCCCTGATATATTTTAGGGGCCCTCGTGGTGCAGTGGTTAAGAGCTTGGCTGCTAACCAAAAGATCCGCAGTTTGAATCCACTAGCCGCTCCTTTCAAACCCTATGGGGCAGTTCTACTCTGTCCTATAGGGTTGCTATGAGTCAGAATCTACTCTACGGCAACAAGTTTGGTTTGTTTTTATATATATATATATTTTATTGTAATGTCCATGTGTATGCTTTGATTTGGTAATAATTTGCTAACAAAGTTTACTGCCTGAGGACCAGCAGTTCTGTCTCAGCCATCAGGCCAGAGAGTTAATATTTGTGTATTCACTACAGGGATAGACTCCTGGGACTGACCTGCAAGCCAGTCTCCCACCAAGGGTCTCAGAGTTTATCCACGCAGAGCCCCTCCCCTCTTCTGCAGCCGTGATCACTGCTTCTGCTGCTGCTGCTACAAATCTAGGCCCAGGTCCCAGCCCCGCTGCCTTGGGTTCCCATGGCGCCCTGGACTACCCTGAGGCACGCACCTGCGTGCTGGGCCAATTGCTCGGCACCTGAGCTGCCTGCTGTGCCCTCAGATCTGAGCGTATCTCCAACACTCGCATGCAGGCTCCATTGTCCCACTGGACTTCACTTACAAAACACAAGTTCAAAGACAAAATTATTAAGGCTTTCCAAACGGGAACAGCGGAGCATTACACCAAGCCAGAGGCTCCTCTGAGAGTGTGGCACCGTGAAGCCGGCCCTGGCTCGGCCTCAAACTCACCACCGCTACCCCCAGTTATGTCGCATCCATTCTGACTCGTGGCGGCCAGTGTGCGGAGTAGAACTGCACTCCAGAGGATTTTCAAGGCTGTGGTCTTTTGGCAGCAGATCCCCAGGACTTTGTTCCAAGTCGTCTCTGGGTGGGTTCGAACTGCCAACCTCTCAAGTAGTAGTCAAGCGCTTAACTGCTCCCAATTCACAGCCCCATACACTTTCTGCACCGAAGTGGCAGAGCTACTTCATTTAGGTTTCAGAGCCCCATTGCACATAAAGCTGCCAGACTTGACTTTCCAATGTCAGAAGTTATTGAAGCAAATCTTAAGTGGAAGTAGAATATATAAAACCTTTTCTTATTCTTATGTTGGATGACTAAAACGCTTTCTTTTACCAAGTTTACAATAGAGAACCTGACCATTTAAAGTTTTTTAAAGATCCATTCATAGGTATTACCTTGTTATCTTTACTTGATATATCTTAAATTCACCTTTCAAACTGAATTCCTGATTATTTCAACAACATGGTCAGAAACCCCAGCTCTCAACAAGTGTATGACAGAAGCTGGTATATATATACCCCTGCTCCTTCGCCCTGGGCAGGGAGATAATTCTGAGGTGTATTTTTTAACGCTGTTTCTGATTCACGATCAGATTAAGGCTGGACTGAGGTTCAGGTGCTCACAATGTTAACTTGCTTGGTAACACACCTTTATTAGCTTCCTTCTTTTTCCTGTCTTACTTCCTCACTCTCCCACCCCTCAAGTCACCTCACAAATAAATTGCTAGAACTCAAATCCTCACCTGAGAGACTGTTTCTAGGGAACTGTCTTAGTTGCCTAGTACTGCTGTAACAGAAATACCACAAACGGGTGACTTTAACAAACAGAAATTTATTTTCTCACAGTTTTGGAAGAGACTGCATAGGCCCGGCTCACTATTATTTGCTCCCCATTGCTAACCACCACGTTGTCTCATGATCTTGTCTTTCCCTCTGGTTCCACTGTCTACAAAAGTTTAAGATGAACCGATGTTCCGCCTTGGAGGGTGGAAAACAAGTGATAATGATCTGAGGATGAAAAACCAAACAAAGCACCCATCTTGTGACAAGAAAACCAGGATGTTGCCAGATAACCCCCAAGAATACCGGTAGATTAACTCATCTGAGGCATGAACACCTCAAGGGGGAACTAACACAAACTTCTAAGACCCATAATCCTGCCCCTATAAAATCCTTCAGCCAATCCCCCATGGGGGAGACGGGTCTTTTGGAGGAATCTATTCCCCTCTGTCTCCTATATATCAATATATAATAAACCTCTTGCTGCTCACCTCACCCCAGTCTCAGAATTGGCTATTGTGGCAGGCGACTCCAATCCACATTATTGCGGTAACAGTTTAGGAGGCTAGAAGTCTGAATTCAGGGTGCCAGCTCTAGGGGAAGGCTTTCTCTCTCTGTCGGCTGTAGAGTAAAGTCCTTGTCTCTTCAGCTTCTGTGCCTGGGCGACCTTTATGTGACTTGGCGTCTCTCTTTCCCCATCTCTGCTTCTTTCCTTTGTTTGTTTAATCTCCTTTATATCTCAAAAGAGATTGACTCAAAGTAAACCCTACACTAATCCTGCCTCATGAACATAACAAAGACAACCCAGTCCCAGATGGGATTATAACCACAGGCATGGAGGTTAGGATTTACAACACATATTTTGAGGAGACACAATTCAATCCATAACAGGAGCTCAAACTAAGACCTTCACTTTAGTATGACTCCTAGTATTTATTTTATTTAGAACCCCCATATGTGTAACAAGGCAGACATGTCCTATAAGTTTTGTTTCCCTCCCATAATAATATTTAGCATGGAGCTGGGAATGAGGTGGAGCCCTGGCGGCGCAGTGGTTAAGAGCTTGGCTGCTAACCAAATGTCGGCAGTTCAAATCCACGAGCTGCTCCTTGGAAACTCTATGCGGCAGTTCTACTCTGTCCTGTAGGGTCGGTCACTCTAGTCAGAATCAACTTGATGGCAATGGTTTTTTTGTTTTTTGTTTTTGTTTTTGGGGAATGAGGTAGGTGTTTTGGAAAAAACCTGGTCAATTGAATTGCCAGGCTTTGTCCCATGATTCCTGATGTGGGCAAGTCAAAGCTGGCAGTTTTCTATGCAATTGGCCACTGGACATGTTGTGATTGAGGTGCAAGCTGAGATGGCATTAACAGAAAGCCTCTCAAGAAATAATTGGAAAAGTCCTGGAGAAATTTCTTAATCTCTAGGATTACTTGGTAAATCCAAGTCTCAGAGCATCAAAAAAAAAAAAAAAAAGTTAGGACCTGAATGTGTATTTGATGATTTTGATCAATTAAGTGTTCATTCTGAATTCCTGAGGGTTCCGTCACGAAGCCACTCAAGGTTTCTGGGAGGAGACTGAAAACATTGTCTCCTTTGCTTTATTAGCTTCCTTCCTTTTCCTGTCTTACTTCCTCACTCTCCCACCCCTCAGGTCACCTCACAAATAAATTGCTAGAACTCAAATCCTCACCTGAGAGACTGTTTCTGGGGAACTGTCTTAGTTACCTAGTACTGCTGTAACAGAAATACCACAAACGGGTGACTTTAACAAACAGAAATTTATTTTCTCACAGTTTTGGACAATGAACCATGCTGGAAGAAAAAACACTGTTTAATGTTTACTTTTTAAAATGTATGTAGAGATGCTGGGGAAAGGGTGAGCTTAAAGAAAGGGGACCTCTTGAACTTCTTCTCTCCTCCAGATAATTGTGATTTTTCCTCGGCAAGATTCTTTGTGTTTTGTTTCTAACTTTTAGAATGCTGAGCTAGGGATCTCTACAACTCCAACAACCTTCTAACTGCTCTTCTATTTGTATTATTTATTTCTTCCAATTCAATTTATGTGTTGCTATCAGAGCTCTAAATATGTTTCTGTCTGAATGTGTACTTGTCTCTATCTCTGTCTCTCTCTCTCTCACACACACACACACACGCACGCACACACACACACACTACTGCTCAATAAACTTCCATTACTCCGCATTGCTTACCAAGTCAAGTCAAACTTCTTCACCTAGGCTTCAAGCCTCTTCATTATCTGGT